TTTTCAGCTCGTTACTCCGAGGCATAGTCGAATGAATTCCTTGCTCAAAGTAATTGGCACTTATATGTCTAAAAAATTCGAATTTTTATCTCAAATTCTAATCTTAAAATTTACGCCGCGCGATTGGTTTGAACTCACAGTCTACTTTGCAAAGCAAATTACTAACAGGTAGCACCACTGTCTCCCCCTCACGGGGATGGTCGACAATTTGTCCTTTCAGAGACGCATGAAGAAATTTCATGGTGTCTTTTAGCTTGGCGCGACCGGAAGCTCATGGAGCAAAGCTCTGTATTTTTGATCTAATGGCAAACATATCAGTTACTGAATCAACCTCCCAACTCGCTTCCAGATTTGAGTACCTCATCTGAAAAGTTCTTGTTGGACATGCGCTGGAACTCATTCAAGGTCATCCACAGTTGGCTAGCTTTTGTTGCATCATCATGCTGCACGTACTGGAGCTGTATCGGAATTCGTTTTAACTGTGGAGCAGATTTTGAAACCTCTATTTCGAGCATCACCGTGAGCATAGGTTGGTACTCAGCCAGCACGATTCGGTTGCTACAATTTTCGCTCGACACCTAGTTGGTTGGTTTTTTTGTAACTCACCTCGTTTTTAGATCTCATTTTAGGTCATAAACGTTGGACAAACTTGCGTTGTTAATTAGGCTTCTGATAGTTGCTGCAGCAGCGCGGTCAGAGTTTTCCTGCACCTTGTCTAAGTTCAGCCCTACTTCCCGAAAGTGCTTTGAATCTCTTCCAACTGTTGTGTGTAAATTCTAATTCATGAATGTCCGTTTTAGATGTTCTTGTGCATGCGAAGGGTTGGCTGAAAAGCAGTTGATGGTCAGTTTTTATTCTGATGCAAAGGTTGAGACAAAATTAGGAACTATTCTGTCAGGGAAAATACCGGATTAATAATAACGGATTGATAATTACCTTTCTCAGCTGTAACTGATAGTGTGCTTTAAGATAATTGATTACGTTACCTGATCTTCAGGTAACTGGTTATGATAGCTGTTGACGGTGAATGGTTATTTTAATTGATTGCGTTATTTGACAGTCAGATACCTCCTCACGATGCCTGATTACCGTACATGATTTCAGTGGTTAAGTCATTATAGTGATTGATCATTGTGCCTCATAATGAGTTCAGTACTTTCGGTGACTGATTAGAGCGACTGATTGTACTTGTCGAAATCGCGGAAACAACCTTCCATGAGAAAGTGCAATCGGCAACTTATGCATGTCGAACAGCAATCTTATCTTTTAAGCAGTATGTGCTAACCACAGCAGTTAGTTATGAATCACTGCGCTGACAGCCGAAAATGGCGAAGCGCCACGTCCACTTCTGTGATGTTCCGTTAAGTGAAATCATGCAAGAAGCAGCGAAGGAACAGTTTGTACATTTGAATAGTTAGTGTTAGTATATTATCACAAAATTTTAAATTATTTCAGTAATAAACAACGATCCAAGTCGATCTTTGTCCCCATAC